TTTTTTTTGAACCAGGATTGAACTCAGGCCCTTGCGCTTGCCAGGGAAGTGTTTAATCCACTGAGCCATCTCCCCGGCCCCTTTATCATATTTTTAAATACTTGTTTTCATGACACTACATTATAGATGTTTACATCCAAATTTCAAATTCATTCCAAAATTCTAAACTAAAACATTGGATCTTTTTCTGTATTACAACAAAGTACAAAATTTCCAATGTGTTCAGAGTAGCCCATTTTTTTGGTCTATATTTCAGCTGAACAAACCAATGATCAAAGTTCTGGACTCCTTTTTATCTGCCAGAGCTGTAACATTAAATATGATTTTTTCATTTAATAAGTTCATATCAAAAAATCTGGTTTGATCCAAATTTGTGCTCCATTCACTCTCATCCAAATCTCTTAATATCCCATCCTAAACATACTTCCCTAATGCTTTTCTATAGAAATTAGAAAAATGAAATAGTTCTTTGTGAGTACATTTCTTCATTTGTCAAATATTTTACTATTATACAGAGTTGCCAGAGCTAGAATCTAGTTATAGATCTATACTCAGAGAACGATTGTTGGTCATGAAGGAATCATCATTACTCTACATGACAATTGTAACAACAGAGACTATGTCAGTTTCCTCAGCAAATGCAGCATTAAGCTCAGATAGGTGCGGAAAGGTGGTTTCCGCTGGTAATGAAACAATTGTAATTTAAAGTTTCACTGTCCTACTTTAATCAGTCTTTGTACATATTCCCATTAAAGCTTTTAAAGTTACATCTTCTCCACTGAATATTCATTTAAAAATAGGCTTCTTGTGAGGCTGACAGTTTGTCTTAGATCTTACATTGCTGGGACAAAACGTCTAACACCCAAACTTAAAGTAAGAAAGGTTGATTTCAGTTAACAATTTTTATAGGTATCATCCATAGTTAGGTTGCTCTAAGGCAAGGTGGCAGAGCAGAGGGACATCACAGAAAATAGAGAGCCCATGGCTGGCCAGAAATAAGATAATAATGCAGCAAGCAGCAGCAGCCTGCCTTCCATCTTTCCTTTATATTATATTCAAGCAATAACCTTATATTTTAGTGCCATGGACACTCAGGCTGGGCCTTCCCATTATCCACACCCATAATTATGCTAAGCCAATCAATGGGTAGATTTAGTTATAACACACTCAATACACATCCAGACACCATAATTCATATTTACACACCCTACATCCAACCACCTTTAAAAAGTAGCACCCTGTGTGTTTATGAGGCTTTAGAGGAACATCCAGATACAAGCCACAGGGGAGTTTAATGTGTGTGATTTAGCCAGGTTTTTGTGTACAATAAAATTTGAAATTTAATTCACAGCAACCACAACACTAAAGCTATAGAAGGTGTGTGTTATTATCTGAGTATAGAAAGAATTTTCAAGTAACACATGTGGTGCTTACATTAAGATTTAAATAAGCTGAATTGATATTCTTTCTACTTTTTGCTTGGCAATGTTAAGAAAAATTGTCAATCTTATTCTCTGGCTTTGACAAAAATACTCAAAAGAATGTTTATACAGTTCATCAGATCCTTGTTTATCTCTTAGTTTTTAGTGATGCTAGTAATTTTAATTTTATTTATTTTTCCACATTTAGCACAGGGTCTGCAGGGAACCACTATGTAGATAGTACTCATAGTGATTCTCCTGTTTCCAGCCTCTCAAAGTCTGGGATTACAGGCTCGCACTACCACACCCAGTCTCAAATGCCATCTCCGTGTGCCCCAGGCTGGGGATCAAACCCTGGCCACTGTGCTCTGCCTAAGCAGGTGCTTTAGTCTGCTAAGCTATCAGGCCAGCCATAGTAATTTTAAATTTTAAAGATAATAAAAAATAGTAAAAATTTACAAACAGATACTTGTTTCTTAAACAAGGTTAATAACGAATACCCAAAATGTTAAAATGATGATTTCCTTATCTTCATTACCAATCACAGTCAGGTCATTCTTTACTACTGAAATTATGTGAATTGCATTTATATGAAATTAATATATATATGTATATATATATATATATTTATAATTTTATAAAGTATCAAATTATATATAAATTCACATGTACATCAGAACATTTTGAAAAAATCTATCTAATTATTTTGTAATCATTTGTTTATTTATTTGGTACAGGATCTTGCTATGCAGCTTGGACTCATAGTGATCCTCCTGTCTCACGATGTGATCCACTCATAGTGATCAGTGCCCCAGTGCTGGGGTTACATGCATGCACCACCTGGCCTGGTTTGGGTGGCCTGCACTGCACACTAGCATGTGGCACTGGGAATCCAGCTGGGTCCTGTGCTTGCCAGGCAGGCGCCAAGACTTTGAGCTGTCTCCTAAGACCTGGAAAGTTCATCTTTTCTTTAATTCAGTTCTTTTAAAAAGACTCCCAGTAGTAAATGTTTTAAAGACAATTCAAACACATACATATTCATATCTATGTCTATATATTCATCTGAATAAATTCCTATAATTACCTATATATCTAGATATTTAAAAGTAGATTGATAATTTTCTGTATTTTTTCATGTGTATATACAGATAGACAGACTGATGGAAACAGAGTTATAAAGGTATATATGAACATGTTTTTGAAGGATGAATATATTACCAAAACTGGGGTTAGATCTTTTAACAGTTTTCTGCATTAAGATTAAATGTCACAGGAGATCGAGTCAGGATGAGTTCTGGAGCAGCACAGCCAGCTGGCCAGGGGCACTGCGCTGCTGTTCCAAGCAGAAAGAGTGGAGGAGCCTGGTTCTGGAGGGAGGCAAATTTTCAAATGTGAGGTGTCACAATATCTCTAGCTTTTAGGCTGCTTGTAGAAGCCAGACCATATACTAGGAAGGTACTGCAGCAAGATGGACTTGGGAAAGGATCAGTCTCATTTGCAACTTCATCAGACACTGACCATCGTCAAAGAGAGACGTTTGGTCCAGAAATCATTGGAACTTGGAGTTTGCGGAACCGAGAACAGCTCAGAAAAAGAAAAGCTGAAGCACAAGAAAAGCAAACTTCACAATGGGCATTTGGAGAACAGAAAAAACGCAAGTGGCAGAACACAGGAAGAGGAAATCAAAGAGGCCGGAAGAGACAACAAAATGCAGAGCCAAAGAGAGAGTCCCAGTCACAAAGAGCAAAGGAAATTGTGGAGAAAGCATCGGTACCTACAGAGAAAGAAAATGAGCCTCCTGGAAGAGCAGCTGAGGCCCCTGCTTTGGTAACTTCCCCAAAAAACACTATGCCTGAGGATCAGTCTTCTGAACTACCTCTAGAAAGCATTACTCATGATGAAAATTCTTCTGAATACCAAGAAATAGTGGCACAAAACCGTGGTTCTGAAACATGCCAACATATGGCTGAACCTGAAGACCTTGCTCCTAAAACCTACCAAGAGATATCCATACTTCAAGACTATTCATCCAAAGTATATCAAGATGTGGCTCAGCCTGAAGTCCTTGCTCCTAAAACACGCCAAGAAATAGCTGTGATTCAAGCTCACCCTAATGTGCCAAGAAACAGCTGTGCCCAAAGCCCCCTCCACAACCTGTGAAGTTGTCACTGACCAAGAAAGATGTGCTCCTGAAGCAGCCCTAAAAGTGGAGGTGCCTCAGGACGGTCCAGAGGACACAGACCCATACACAGCTGAGCCAGAGAAACCCACTTTGGAACAAGACCAAGCCGGGCCAGAAGGCTTTCTTCAATCACAAAAAATAGCTCTGCCTAAAGACCTTTCTTTAAAAACATATCAAGAAACAACTGAGCCTGAATATTTTTCTCATGAAACATATAAAGAAGTGAGTGTGCCTAACAGTTCCTCTCATAAAATAATCCAAGAAACACTGAAGCCTGAAGGATGTTCACCTGAAATAAACCAAGAAACACTGGAGCCTGAAGAATATTCACCTGAAATAAACCGAGAAACCCTGGAGCCTGAAGAATACTCACCTCAGACTAACCAAGAAATACCTGGGCCTGAAGACTATTCGCCAGAAACCTACCAAGAGATACAGGAGCCTGAAGACCTCTCTATTAAGACATATAAAAATGAGAATGTGCCAAAAGAATACCTTCCAGAACCATATCAAGAAACAGGCAAGGCCCAGGGCCAGGATTCTAAAGCACATGGAGAAGATGCTGAGGATGTACATACTATTCCTCAAGGAGGCGCTGTTCATAGCAACCCCACAGAAATGAAAGAAAAATCCAAAGTAGAAGAACCAGAAGTGCCAGCAATTCCACATGTTCCTCAAGAGATTGGTCCAGAAAATGATGTGTATAACTATGTTTTGTTTTAACAATGTTCAACCATAAAGTTGTAATCCAGTGGAATATACATCTTAATATTTTGTCTTTTTCGCAAGCTATTGTAGAAATAGCTATAATTTTCATTAATAATTTAACTTTGTCTTTTTTCCTTTTACAGAACATACTTGAGAGGACTAACATTTTTTTAAGGGTCTAAAGCAGATAATATCCTTTGTGTGTGCATGTGTGTCTGTGTGCATGTGGGTGTGTATATGTGTATGTGGCAGGGGAAGGGGAGAGAAAGATAAGGGAAAGGGGAAGGCTGAATAATTTTTTCCTTTATTAACAAACATTTAATTCTTAGGAGCAAAAAAGTGGTTACATTTTTTTAAATTTTTTTTATTTGAAAATTTTATTGATAAACAGATAGCAATGAGACAGTTTCATATCAAATACGAAGTACAGTTTCAACAAATAACACACTGCATATATTCTTCTTAGTGGTTAATTTCTGTACAAGATGTGGACTTCAGATCCTATTTACAAACACCATTAGAACAAATCATTCTATTCATTAAGAGAATGCAACTATGTATCTATCCCAACCACTTTTTTTTATTTGAAAATTTTATTGATAAACAGATAGCAATGAGACAGTTTCATATCAAATCGGAAGTACAGTTTCAACAAATATACATTTTTAAGTATATAGCTTTTTGTCAACCTTGTTCAATTATTGATAAAATAGCATTTTAGCCATGCTTTCTTTGGTTCTTTTAGCTAATTTGAATACATTTTATTCTGGGACTCCTTAAAAGATA